TTCCTTCTTTCTTCCTTCTTTCTTCCTTCTTTCTTCCTTCTTTCTTCTTCTTTCTTCTTCTTTCTTCTTCTTTCTTCTTCTTTCTTCTCCTTTCTTCTCTTTCTTCTTCTTCTTCTTCTTCTTCTTCTTCTTCTTCTTGGTCCTTCTTCGTCCCTCCCTGGACATCCCGCCACTGTGGCCCCACACTGCCGGCCTTCTGGGCGGATCGCCCTTAGAACCTTGGGACAAATCTCTCAACTGGATTCTCATGTCCGTCAGGCGACTCGCAAGGAGGGATTTTCATTCCAACGATCATTTAGACCGTGTTCGTTTGCGTTGTTCATCCCGTCCTCATCCCGTCCATCCACATCTTTTAGTTGAAGATTGTGCCATTTGCACTCGTATAAACATAGTCTAACTCCCACAAAAACCCTCCACCAGGATGGAACACGGATTTGGACATGGTTCTTGCGCCGGGATTCCTGTCCAGCTTGAACATGTTGAAATCATACAAGGTCATATCCAGAAAATGCAAACTATAGCAGCCTGATACCAAAGCGAACATTCACTGTGTCTTCATAAGCACCACATGCTACCCCCTTCTGACCCACCTCCCAGGCTGGGCCTCCGGACAGCCTCCTGCAACTCGGTGGGCGTCAGGATGCGCCCTGTGCACATCTCTGCACATCTTGGCAGGGCACAACATGACCTTAGGTACTACAGTAACTGGATTTTCCCAAATATTGTGTGAGATGACTTATTCTGATGACAAGGGCCTTAGGACCCCACACACTGGCCCTCAAACCAATTCCACTTGGCCCTTCGAAACCCCCTGGTGCCTGTGAAGTTTGGTCTGCTTTCAGTGGCCACCCGCAGCCTCCGCTCCAACTCCTGCTCGAGAGCGGCTCGAGATCAACGACGGAGAACCATCCGAGAGAGAGAGAGAGAGAGAGAGAGCTGTGCACGGCGGCAATTCCAAAGAGATCAAAGAAAGGGGGGACCATTTTTCAAGGGGCATTCTGCATCATGGTCGCTGGAAAAAGAATATGCCCCCACCAAATCCACCAGACCTCAGTTGGGCGCAGCATGTTGGAAGAAAACCTGCCAAGCTTGTTCTGGCTTTTCAATTATCAACTCAGACAATGTACACGTGAAAGCCTCCAGCTTTTTCACCCCTAGGCCCCTACATCCTGCAGCACATGGCCAATAGGACTTCCGCTCAGCAGCTTCGCGCCTGCGGGCCGATCCCAGGTTCCACACATCGGGAAGGGTTTTGAGCGATGCTTTTGGCGCACAAAGCAAGTTCAAAACCCTTGGCGGATCGAGGCATGGCATGCGGATCGCGTCTATCTGTTCACTCGTGACGAACGGTCAACCACCAAGTGATACTTTTGATACCCGAAACCGGATGTGTCGTGGTCCTTTTTTACATCTGTTTGTCGCAGATGTAACACAATACCAACACCATCCCTCCCAAGTCGTTCCCCTTGCTCGATCGCAACAGCCAATTCAGGCTGCTCACTGCTGCCATCGCACCTTCCATCGCTGCTGCCGCAGCGTCTTGATGGCCTGGGTGTCTTTTCTGGTCCGAGAGGCCGACAGGGTCGGTGATGCCGACTGGGCGAACTTCAGGGACTTCACGAACTTCATGTAGACTCTTGATGACCATTTGGATTGAAAAAGCCTCTTCAATCCTTTTCATCTGGGGGTTATGAATCAAGAGATATCAAGAGTCTACATTAGGCCCAGAGGATTTACACGGCACTTCGCCGTGTGGCAGTTGTTTTGTTTCTGTTTCTAAATTTACATTCAGCACAGATGAACATCTCAGCCTTGGCCTCCATTCACTTCCCTCGTGACACGTTCTGTTGGCAGCATGCGCAAACCGCTCACCTAATTACAGTATTATCAGGACATTCCGGATATTCATGATTCGGTCTGGTAAAATGGTTCTAGGTGATGATTACCAGGGTTTTTGAATCAAGAAGATCTGGATCATTAATGAGGATTGAAAAAACTATCCTCAACCAGAACCAGAGTCGCTCTGGGCCACCACACGCCCAGCGGCCTCCAATGCAAGGACCTGCGGTCGTGACTGGCATGTGTTGTCACCCGTATGTCGAGTTCGGAACTCTCTTTTCTCCCGAGCTCATCCGAGCTCCACGAATCCAAATGGATCAAATTGTGGAAGACTTTTCGATATTTGACCAAACCAGTGACCTATAGGAACCTCCAGTGGACTCATCTGCGAGATGCGAACCTTCACTTGTGACTCATTCCACCACTCGATTTCCGTGGCCAAGCCCTTTCCAAAAAATTAATGCAAGGACTGAAAAGTCTGAGCTCTGAACCAGCGCTTGGTAGCTGAGCACCTTGGCACAGTTATATGACTCCAATCAAATCCCTGGCTCGCATCACAGGCTGCTGACACAGGACTTCCTCTCTCTCTCTTCAACAATTCGATCCACCTTTGCAAAACTCAAGCTCCTAGGACTCCGCCAATGAACCTGTCCTAGCACTAACCTATTCACCGAAAGACGATAGAAGCTCAAGACCTTCGCCATGCCATACCACACCATTCCCATCCCCCTACAGAAAAAAAGCAAGAGTCAAAAAAGAAACACCAAACAATTCCTGGCACAAACCTATGAACATCTATGAACCTATTCCTTGTTTGGGCCTTCCAAAGGCCCCAAACCCGGTCTCACCGTCGCCTGCGGTGCCTCTCCGGGCGTCCCAGCGTCTCCAAGCTTCACCGCTCTCGCGGCGTCGGAGGCCCCGCACGTCTCCAGTCCGGCTGCCTCAGCGTCAGAGAGACTCCCTGGAATGGTCAAAACAGTCCAAACACCTATACCATCCTTCTTGTATCATGTTCAATCAGCCATCCTCTTGATGGCTGACTTGGACATGGTAAACCTGGGCTTGACTTGGACATGGCACCATCCTCCTTGCTAATCATTGAACATGGGTCTCCGAGCGTTTCAGGGGACGGGCCGCTCGGCCATCTCCACGGATTGTTCCCGGGAGTGTGCCATCCAAGTGCTCATCCGAACCGAAGAGAGGCTGTCCATGATGCAACATGCAGAGTCTGTCTGCAACAGCCTGCTGTCTCCAAGAATCGATTCAGAAACTGTGCTTGAAATTGTGTGGGTTTGGAGCGGTGTTCTCCCCTGGAAGGCTCACAGCTTGACTGGGAAGTGAGGCCAAGTAAGGCTTTGCATGAACGGCTGACTGCTCTGAACTGACAACGAAGCAGGATTAAATCAGTGTTTTTCCCTGGCTTTGCTGGGGTCTCTGTGTCTATGTTTCGTCTGAGCCACTCCCCAACCCACCGACTGCTCCTCAAGCCTCCCACCATGGCCGCTTGGGCCCGACGTCGCCAGATGCCACCGGCTGAACCATTGGCCACCTGCGAGCGACCGACGTGGCCACAGCATCCCGACGAGGGGTGCAGCGTCTAGCGGGCGTCACCGGCGTCACGCGAGTCACGCGAGTCACGCGAGTCACGCTATCGGCGCTGTCGAGCGCCAATGACCTGACCTGGTGGCTTTGGGATGATGTCCCGTGGCTGACCTGTGACCTGTGACAGTGCACAGGCTCGATGAAAACAACAAACACTAGAAACGTGAATTTCTCGCTTGGGTCAGGTGAACTATGCTGGCCAAGTTGGGGTCAAGTTACCATTCAGTGCTGTCCGAAATGTTGGAACGCTGTAGGGTTGGTTGACTATACAACCGATCGAGCCGCACATATGTCCATGCTTGCCCTTGTAGTACTCCATTGATCTGGAGTGAACAACCTCGCGGCGGGGATCTCTGGGAAATGGAAGACATGCATCCTATTGGATGTTCCGATTCTTCTGCGACATGGACGCCTCATCCAGCTAGATCATTTGCGCACTCCACTCACCTACCAGTCCTATGTCCATGGTCAGGATCGCCGACCACGATCCGGCCTCGCTGGCTTTGCCGTACAGGAGCCAGGCGTCGAAGTGTTTCTTCCGCTCTTCGGCTTGCTGGGCCAGCTCCAGGTAGGGCACCTCCAACGAATGCACATCAACATGGGGGTGCATAAGAATAGGGAGAACCCCTGGCCTAATGGGATAACCCCTGGCCTAATGGGTTTGGGCCTGTATATGTACCTTGGAAGTCAAGTCGACCATTTTTAAAATGGTTGATCTGGTTTTGTAGCGTAAAGCCCTTAGTCAAACAATGGCGGTTCGGTAGAGGCTATTAAAACAATGGTGGTTCGACTTCTAGGGTGTATATTATATATACATATACACGTGTGTGCGTGTGTGTGTGTGTGTCTATGCACACCCACATTGACATGGATATCATCGGGTAAACGTCACACTTCTTAAAATATGAACCTAATCCACCACCGGTGATCACCACTGTTTCTGATGTAACTTCACTTCAGCAATGCGCTCATGATTCAAAACTGAGGGAAAAACTTCAGTTGTGCCAGTGTTCAACATCCCAGTTCTGCAGTGCCAGCCTACCGATGCACCTAGTACCATGTTGTGTTTTCGTGTAGGGGGCAGAAGCAAATCTCTCGGAATGGATCGTTGATGATCTCGATCTCTCTCTCTCTCTCTCTCTCTCGCTCTTCTCTCTCTGTCCCACCACTTCTCGATCCGGCTCGATTGCGTTCGATCTCCACGCCCTTTCACAAAGAAAATCATACCACAATGAGACTCAACTGCATGTCAGAGCTCTGGGAGGCGTGGTCAGACTTCTACCCGTCCCAGTGTTCCGCCTGATTGGGTGAAGATGGCCAGCTGGGCCCACCGGGCACCTGAGCGCACGAACCGCCGCACGTCTGGGAAGTCTGTCGCCCCGCAGGAATGGACCTCTCCGCCATCCTGGGGGCTGGCCATCGGGACGACCACCAACGCTGCGGACGACCACGCGGTGGACTTCCTGGGATTTCACCAGAAACACCATGGATTGCACAGCGTCTTCAGATGCGGGGGGGCCTTACTTGTTGATCAAGAGTCCACATCTTTTGGCCAATGTAAAGGATCATACTGAGCGGGTGGGGTTCGGGGAGCGACAGGTGCTGCCGGAATGTGTCGTCAGGTGGCACCAGCCTCCTACGTGCCCGGCCCCCCCGACCGGGTTCCTCCTCGGGTCTCCCGGCCGGATGGGTCGGATCCGCCTGTGCCAAGATCTTCACCTCGAGGTCCACCGCCAGGGCCTTCGTGGATGGCAACACCAACCACCCCAACGAGGAGCCCCGGACCTTTTGGTTTGGGTCGGCTGCACCTCGTCGTTGGGGAGTCCGCTCTGCCTGAAAATCCTCAAAAAACCTGCCCTGAAGACTCATGGCTGGAGATTCTCCAGATTCATCCAGATTTGGATTCTCTAAATTCTTCCCCCTCATTGAGCCACAAACCCAGTTTTGCAGCTCTTCAGGTGATCTGGGCCCTAGTGGTTCGGATCTGTTCGGCTTGCCTGTCCAATCGGACAAACAGTGGCTCCAATGAACTGTCCCGAAGCCAACATGTTCTTATCAGGCATCCGTCCGCCTCAATCTCCCAAGAAACCGTGGGAATGCCCAAACACTTGGCCTTTTCCCCGTTTCCCATCTTTTAGCCACCTGGTCTATGAGATTCCATGGGAGAAATCGTGACGTCCAGCGGTTTTTCCGACCAAGGTAGGAAGATTAGGAAGTTCAATTGAGCGATTTCAATGTGATTCACTACGCCAACCACCGCAGAAAGCAAGCTGCACAGGTCTCGTGCCCCTTTTCATCTGAGGCCTTCAGGGATTGCACGGCGCCGGCAGCTCTGAAGTGGGCGTGATTGCTAGGCGCGGTTTCATCGAAGGGTCTGGTGTCAGGTCTTCGGACTTCTCACGCGCCAACATTGAGAATCAAGGTCATCCAAGAAAAGCTCCTGGTCCAATCAGAGTTGCACGTGTCAGCCGATATCGCAGGCTGAAGCACAGAACCCGGCACTTCCAGCCAGTGCTGAAGGGCCGACCTCGCTTCGCTCCGGAAAAGTGAGCAAACTCCAGCGGCACAGACAGTGCTGGGCTGCCCCGAAAAATCCGATGCATCGCAGGTGCTGCAGCGGCGCGATATCGCAGCCACCTGCTGCCATTCGCAGGTGCGGGCGCAGGCCTTGCTTGGCAAGCTGCGCTGAGAAGAGGATCTCTATCTCCTACATGAGGGGTTTGAACCCTCGATTCCGGTAGAGCAAGTTGGCAGCAAAAGCGGAAGAAGCACCGGGAACACCAAAGACTGGGTGGTCTTCTGAAAAGGCGATGCTGACAGAACAAAACGAAAACACCCTTGCCAAATGAACTCCTGCCAATTGAACTCTCGGATAGCTTCATTAGCCGGATAGGGTTGGACCCTCCACCTTACACACAACGATTTGAAGCTCTATCCATCCACCTTTCCAAAACCGATTTCCAAAGCCGAAGAACCGCTTTGGCCAGCCAACAGCCTCCCTGGAAACCCCCGGAGGAAAAAGCGACCTTCAGGCCCAAAGTGCAAAGGAACGTCGTCCTTCATACGAAGGAGAAAAAATGGCATTGGCCAATCCTGGAAGTTCAAGGGGCACCGGGTGCTAAGCTAATGCATCTGCGCTTTCCCCCTTAAACATGTTGAGCTCAACACAGGCACTACTTCGAGACATGGGTCACGCATCGGCATGTGGGAGCACCGGAGGTGCCAAAACGGCTGAGACATGAAGTTCCAGGTCACTCGTTGCATTAGTCGAATTGGTTGGCACCCTGGAGAAGGCCTGTTTGCATAGACATCCAGCCAACCCAGGAGAAAATGATGCACCGAATTCCGCGCGCAGGACCTAGAACCTATTCGTGCACCAGACTGTTGATAGGCTGGCAGCATAGCACCGCCCAAAGACAGAGGTCATTGAGACTCTTCAGAAAAGCTGGTGATCATCAAGATGCAGAAGTGACAGTTCTGGAGCCAAAGTGAGGTTCATGAGCCAAAATAAGCTTCATGAGCCAAAGTGAGCTTCATGAGCCAAATGACTCAAAAGATTTGGAGGACTTTCCCTCTCTGAGGTCCCTGCCACTGGAATGGGTCGCAGGATTTGCTGTGGCGGGCAGTCATTTTGTATATACGAAAGAACCACTTGACCTAAAGGACGGGGGTTCTCGGGAACTTCACTTGTCTCTACCTGGTCGTCTTCGTTTTTGCGACATGTTACGTTCCGACGCGGGGGGCTTCAGGGGGGCTTCAGGGGGATTTTCTGAGCTTCGGTGTCGACGTTGTGTTGCACCTGCCAGGTATGATGGACCTGTGGCACTTCGTTTCGAAGCACTTCGTTTTCGACTTCGTTGTTTCGGCTTCATGGTTGCTTCGGCACCTGGTGTCCGACCACGTGAGAACTAGGGTGGCACCAGGCTGCACGATGTCTCCGGAATACAATATGCGATTACCACCTGGGTCAAGGAATATTCCATTGAGTCTTCATGTGATTACCACCGCGGTCGATGAACTATCCATTGAGTTGATCTACTTGCGCTCGGCATTCCATCCATACAGGGCATTATTGCATGGAAAGAAGGACCCTTTGCCTGTTAGACATTAGCATAATATATATTATAATATATTACTGTCTGTCTACGATATCCCCGTGGTCGCCTCTATGATAAGGTTCCCTTTCCTGTCCTCTGATTGTTTGCAAACAAGTACGGGGCAACCGAGAAACCTGTGTTATTGACCCTTGACCTACCCTTGCTTCAAACAGGTGTGGTCGAGGTGAAAACGAGATGGCACCCACGACTCAGTCAGGCCGAGAGTCGTTTGGCCCTTGTGAGAATTGTGATATTTACAGTGTGCAATGGAAAACTATGGTGTGGAGCACATTCTAAAGATTCTCGTGCAAATGTCAAAAATGCTCACAACAGAAGTCCAAGCAGTTAGCATCCATCCGACACATTTTCACCTCATCATCGAGCTTTGCAAACACACTCAACATGCGTGAACACCTGAGAAGCTGCAAAACGAAAGCCAGCGCTTTTGTGGGGCTGATTCGCAGTGCAAAGCCGGGAAGAAGCTATTTCCACTGTCTGTGAAGCCTGATGCGCGCCATACCTGGGAACAGAATTGTAGCTACAAGACCTTTATTTTCAAGGTGGCCTGAACAGAGTGTTTTAGGGCAGCAAACCGTGGTCTCAGGCCACCTTGAATTTAGCTTGAAAACCACAGCTACA